GCGCTATTTAATATTAGATGTCTCATGGTGTACGTACCTGCAGTATACCACACACTACAAAGTAGAAATAAGATGTACCTACAGTCCACTTACTGAATTATTATTATAGATGTTCATTTAAATGGTTACTACTTAGAGTATACACTTAAGTATACTCTAAGGGTTGCTATAGACTTATTATATGAAGTATATTATTTTATAATTCAACTATTTATTAAAGAGAAAACAATAGTAAAAGTTATATACAAGGCATGGCTTGAACTAGCTTTAATGTGCAATTTGGAGTCTAGGTTATTAATAACTAAATTATATATTAAACATTTATATATTTCATGCCATATCTATTGCCTTTCTTCTATGAAAGATGTTCGGACCTCGACATATATTGAATTCATTGTCACGTATATTGCTCACAAGCTGGGCGTGGCACAGGTATGGATAGTAAAATATCACATCATTTATAAAACATTTAGTTTTTTTTATAAATACTTATAAAACAATTTTTACATGCTATGCCTTTATATCATGCTAGATAGAGACTGCCAACAGTTTTTAAATATATAATAAGTATAATACTTTGGTTTTGATAAAAATTTAAAGACGTCTTTAAAAAGTGTAACTTATGAGATTAAATTAACATATTATATATTTGTAAAGTATACACGTACGGCTAGAGAATAAACAACATGGGTACATTACAGGTGAATTAATATTTAAATTGAAGTATAATTTGGTATTTGTAAACTTCTAATTAAATTTAAATTCAATAATTAGGAAAAGTATCATACCCACAATGATATATTATTATGTTTTAAATATAATAAATATTATGAAATATCTTTTTATTTCACATTGAAACTGCTATTAGGAGTGACAGTTGTAAGGACTATTCTCACACTAACAATTAGAAGCGGTTCACAAAGCACAATGAAACACATTGGATCCATGTGTGCAAAATTATTCACGGCCGAATGTGACCACGTTGCGCCCAGATTTGTGATTAAAAAAAAAGATATAAATGTCAAAAGACTGACTCCGACTTTTTCACTTCATCAAATATAAATTTACCTCTGAATAATACAGCTCCAACCAAGACATTGTCATTCCTACACAATAGTTAAAAAAAATGGTCCCAAGCTCCCCCAATCTATTGTCTGTACAAATACGAACCTGAATTATTGTTTTTAACCAAGTCTCTCTTTTGTACTCTCAAGTGGTTTTTGAATAGATACTTCTAAACGTTTTTGTGTCACAATTCTAATCTATAATACAAGTGCAACACTAAAACCGTAGTATTTTTTTATAACATATTAATAGTTTCTAAATACTCTTTAATAATACCGCCGTCACCATTTTAATCATAATAAACAGTAACCATGTTATATATTATACATATTTCTTTTAAAAGTTATTTTAAATTTCTTAAAGTTTCGATCTTTTTCTAGATAAAAAAAATAATGAAAACAAATGCGTATATTCATCTAATATAGGTACTTTACCATTTTTTGTTGCAATTTTTTTATGTATTTGCTAAAAAAATTCATTTACACTCTACCTATAGCTACCAAATATGTATTCGGTCTTGTAATCATGTAAACAACTTAAGTCTAAACTTTTGGTACATAATATTATTTTATGAAAATGTTATTAAAATGTAGGTATCGTCTTTTTCTAATCTTCATGGTTTTAATAAAAAATACGTCTTATTTTTTGTAAGTTTAAGAGATGGCGTATGGCATTTCTCTACATTTAAAGAGATGGCACTACTTAAAAATTATTCTCCAACACTCTTTGCATTCGTTCTCTAGCGGCGAATTTTAGTAACAAATTATCGATTAATATAGAGTTTACTATACACAAGTTGGCTAAACCCGTAAATATAAAGATTACAATTAATTATCTACATTATTATAAAATATAAGTAACATATTATGTGTCATATGATCTGTGCTTGTATTGTACCTTAGCGACATCTAATGTTTTGTTTCGTAACTGAATGCTAGTGCTTTATTCCTGCTCCAATGTTTACATCATGCATAGTCTTCGTACTAGTTATCTATCTTGTCACTAGAGTGCGCTTGTTACCAATTGAAATCCAGCGGCATATAGTGCAGTCATTTATGGTGCTAAATAATATAAAGTTGAAATAAAGATTATAAAAAAACATTTTTTATGTAATGTATTCATTTTAATATTTACAAAAAGTACCCATAGTCTAAAAGCTCAAAAATTATTTTTTTAACTCTACTTAAAAAAAACCGTAACGTCAACTTTGTCAAAAAATGTTTAAGTTCTAAATATTATTACACCATGACTTTTGTACATAAATAATAATAAACAATGAAATATTTTTAATGGACTGCGACCACAACCATGTCAGAAATTTTTCATAAGAGTTGTTATACTTCGCGTAGTGCTGGTTACAAATATCGCACGCTCTCAACAAACACTGGTGAAAGAAAGCGTAGGGATAGTAAAGAAGATAGTACTTTCGATAGAAAATTTAAAGAATTAAAAAGAGCAATTACCTCGAGTATTACTAAAGAAGTAGATGAAAGTCAAAAAGCAAGAAAATCAATTCAAGAAAAATTAGATAAAATAGATAAAAAAATTAATGGTATGCTTGACGTACAAAATACAATTTCAATTTTAAGAAAAGATTTGCGCGTTACTGAGAATATATTAGTCGATACAATGGAAAAGGTAGAAAAAATTGAAAATTTTATAGGTAATAGTGAAAATTGTAGTCTACGGTCTCAAAAGAGTTCTTTTTGCAAACCCCGACAAGTTATGTTTTTTCATACATAATTGATAAAACTACGTAAAACTATTGTGAATTAAAATGATTCTCTTAAGTAAGAGATAGTCATCATTACTATCTTTATTATTGACAATTGAAATAAAGAAAGAAATAAAAGTGGGTAATATTAACATTTAATTTTTCCTTTATTTGCTGTAATTTATCTTTTTAATGACATAAATGCAGCTCAAAACTGAACACATCAATATACAGCTACAATTATAATTGGATAATATAATTTATAACATTAAATGCAAACAAGTATTAATTATATCGTTTAAAACGATAACATACACAATTCTTTTTAAACACATGACATTATCCTAAATCAAGAGCAAAGTATTATTTTGAACACTATTCAGTTTTTAGTAATAAAGGGATAAAAGCTTTTTGTGTGGATATTTTTATGAGACTACAGATAATTTAAAGATTAAGTAAAGACATAGACTTCTTATTTAAGTATAACAATTTCGAAAAATGTATTCAAAAGGATTACGTGTACAAATATCAGTTCATGTGTTTAGACAGTACTGGGACAATATATGTTACGAAAATACGTTCATACTATTTTTCCTAATAATTTACTTAATAAATTGGCAATTTGTTAATCACCCTATATTTTTATATACTATGCTTACTAAATTTAATACTATTATATAAATGTACTAAATATGGCACTGCATAAATTAAAATACCTTAATAGATTAAGCTGTAAGATAAAAAGAAACTGACATTAAAAAAATCCGCCCAGAAGAGGCAGTGGATTTCTGAGAACAATATAAAAGTTAATAATAATACTATAAAACAAACAAGATTTAATCTGTACTTAAAATACGACTAGGGCACCTTTTAAGGATCGTAAGACCTTTTATTTAACTTAATCGAAGACGTGACAATGGAGTAAATGCTCTGCAAATCTAATACCAACTATATAAATTTTTTCTAACCTTTTACTAAATTTTTATTTCAACAAACATCCCATTTATGTATTCATACGTATAAATTGAATCTAAAAATCCGAAATTTACAAATGCATTTAATCCAGAGTCTAAAAATTTGTCTTATCTCGCCAGTCAACATTTTTCTTATGAAAAGTTGAGATTTTCTAAATATTTACAGTTTACACATCGCATTATACCTATAGCTGCGGTAACACCACATTAACATAAATAGTTTAAAACATCACTTATGTAAATATAAGTACATAAAGAGTAATTGATAACACTTTAAATAATAGTAACTTGAACACAATCTGTATTGATGCCACAAAATACTTAGCAAATAATTTCAAAAACCTTAAATGCAACAAAAAGAAGTTATTATAAATATACTCTTTTGTGCCTCAATTTCATTCCAATAAAATAATTTTTGAAATTCAATTAAACCTTTTCTAATATATTTAAATTTAAAATATAATATAGGTTCTGAAGAAAGAGAGAATATCACAATAATTACCATAAAGTAAGGTTAAATCTTACTACACATCGATATAAGTTAAATCCAGGTAATATAAAGCACAGCTGGACGTCGCCATCTCTTAAGACCCGTTGACACGCTCAAAGTCTGCTTTAACAAAATAGCTTCGATCAAGGTTTACTTGGATACCTGTTGACATGCTCAATGACTGCGTTGACAAAAAGCTTTGAAACTAAGTTCTCTTTGATAAAGATCACTTTGATTGAACGCTGATTTGAAAGTGCGCTTTGATTCCTCGTTTACACGATCAAAGTAGTCGTCAAAAATACTTTGTCTAAGCAGGCTTTGAGAAAAGTAGAACACGGTCCAGGTCCACTTTGATTTACGTCCACCTTAAAGTGCGATTTAATTGCTCGTTTACATGATCAAAGTTGCGTCAAAGTAGTCATCAAAACTACTTTGTTAAAAAAGAGTTTGATCGTGTCAACGCAGCTTTAGTAAACACTCAATTCTTATCATTTATCATAATTGACACAGACGTGTCACTTCTACACACTTTGTTTTATATTTATATTTTATGCTTTAATTAATATTCTTTTACTGTTTAACTTAAACATTTTATTCAGATATGGTAATTCACAATCTCTTTCTAATTTTCATAAATTATTTTCTTTTATAGTAAATGAAGTCGTATTCCCTTTAATACATTTAAATTAATAAAAAATAATGTCACCGATAATCGCACATAATAAAATACTTGGAATTGGACTCTTAAACTTGTTTAGTCAAACAAGCAAACAAATGCATGTATCAAACCATGAAAACAGTCAGAACAGCAATTGCTCTTTCTAGTATTTCTTGTATCTTCAGGTTCAAAACAGGGTTGTTTTAATTTTTTAGGGCGTCGTCCGCACAATTTGCTGGGTTTTGGCTCGTCTACTGGTTCAGAACGGGGGCTCAAGCTCACTGGTAATGCAGCCGGCTCCGTAGGTCTTGGATGTGCCCATCTTCGCAGCATTCCCTCCTGTTCTGCGCCAACAGGAACGGGTGCCGATAATTTCCGAGCACGAGCTACAACCAAAGCTCGTTCTATAGGCTCTAGTAGTTCTAAAGCCAAAGCTCTGTCTAGCTCTTCTCCAGCAAGAAGCAAATAGCGAGGGCAATATGCTAACTCGCCAAGCGTAGCGCGTTTGTTACTTGGTGTCAATTCTCGCTTTGTGCGCTTACAGGCTGCCGTACTCCAACGTGCCAGAGCTTCTGCTAAAACAAGCTCGCTAGATACTCTTAAAGTATCTCGCTTTACGATCAATGCTAAATCTTCATATGTGAGATCCTCGAGTCTTTCATGCGTTAGAGCTGCATCTGCGTTATCATCGATTACAAGAAGTGCATTATGAGCAAGTGAGTCGCACCACATAGCGCAATGAGATAAAGTTCGCGCTGCTGCATCGTTTTCTAATGCAGGCAGTGGTGGTGCCGACGCTGCTCCTGGTAGTCTGGCACATAAAAATCTTAAGTCTCGTAATATTTCCAGGGCAACTTCAGCATCCAGCATTTCATCAAGACGACGAGCACATCGCTCAGCCAGTTGAGGACACAGGAATTTGTAGGCGGCATTAAGTGTAGTTCGAGCAGTAAAGACGGACGTCAGTTGAGTTGGCTCGCAATAATAATAGCGAAGCAACTGCTCAAATCCACGCCGATCAATGTAATCAACAATAATTACATCTGCCTTAGTGGACAGTAAAGCAGCAAAAACCGGGCTCGTGGCAGCGAGAACTTTGCGATGGCCAGGGAATCGAAACGTATCGCCATTGATCCCGGCTACGAAAACGATATCACTCTGTTTTTCATTATCATAAAGTCGAGAATTTTCATCTATTTGTAATTCTCCGTATTGTGCATATTCGAAGTAATCATGGCCACTAGATTGGGTACCAGAGGTTGAAGCTTGTGTGACTTGACCTTCGAGGCCATTGTCAGTGCAGGCTGGGTTGGTTACTACGGTCATGGCGCTGTTCTTTCTGAATACTCCCCTGAAAATAAGAAATAAATTGATTATACATATATATATTGCGAATACCACCGTTTATTAAACTCTCTACAGATTTCTTAAATTATCCCTCCAGTAGACCTAGGTCAGATGCTAACTAGTTTTGTTAGTGCCCTTATTATGCTAGTGTGAAGTTATGAGTGCCATATAAAGTATGATTATTACTTTGCTTTGTGTTAAGATTCATTCTAGGTGTTAAACAGAAACACAAGGGCAATTGATGATAGAGTGTAATTTGAAATATTCATGGTTAGTTAGTATTTAATGTCGAAGGTGTGTGGAAAATAAAATAGATATTACTACCTTAATTTATAACCAAGTTTGATATAATTTTTCGATATACTCATGGTTAAATATGTTTTATACAAATATTTTAGTTCATATTTTTTTTCTATTTTTAAAATGGCCGGAAGTAACTTCTATCTGAATGCGTCAACGGTTGAACATAAACTAAAGTACTTGGTCATGCGTCATTTCACCACATTCTTGGTGCATATCAACAAAATTATACGCAGAAATGTATCATCCAAACATATTTCCAAAACAAACTTTATATACAAGAGCGAGGATCTGTTCATGATTCCTTTGTATAACTTATTATTTTAATATATCATTTAAAACGCCAGAATTTACGTTGCTAATAGTAACGATTATTATTTTCTTACTATCATATGCTTTAATTTATTTAATTTTACTTGTATCTTAAAACATTCCCCAAATCGTCACAGCCCAAATATTTTGCTCCGTTGCAATCTAATCCCTTCCCTGTATATTTATATCTGATCCAAGAATTGCATTTCGAAACCGTAGGACATAACGATTGTCGACTATTCATGATGGCTCCTAGTAACCCACATACATTCGCATTTATGGTGTTGAACTAAAATTGTCCTATATTTAGAATCAGAAATCTGTGTATAACGTTCGGAAAATGCAGGGCGCTGTTTCTCTGTGTATTATTGGTTAAAGAAAGACAAACGAAGGAGTTCAGCTAAGTTATATTTTCATAGTTTGTCCTGTTTTACGTTATGTACTAATTCTGACAATGTGATTAAAATAAGCTTGTTACAAGTTGACAGGAAGTAGAGACTAGAGAGTTCAAGTCGTTTACACCTTTTTATTGTTCTTCAAAGTCAATATACCTAACAACTACAGTTATTAATAAAATGAATAACATTATGTGTACCTATTAAGCGTCATCTACACATATATATGTATATATAATAAAACTATAGAGGTCGAATGTCTGTACATAGAAAAAACGCTAAAAACCGAGTCAAGGGGATGTAAGAAAAGAAATAAAACAGATCCAGATTTTTTTCAATTTTTGTTTCTCTGTCTGTTTGTCTGTTTGTACGGGCTAATCTCCCAAACTGTTGGACCGATTTAAATGAAATTTTGCATGGTGGTACCTTATATCCACGGTCAACATTTTACTTCTTATCCCGGAATTAATTAGTTCCAGTGGGATAGTTAAAAACTATAGTCACTTATACACCTTAGTACACAAAAACTACTGATTGGATTTTAATGAAACCTTTACAATGATATTGTTCATACATCAGAATAACAAAAAGGCAACTTTCATCCAGGAAAAATGTACGGTTCCCGTGGGATAGATTTGTTTTTGTTTATGTGGTTCGCTAGTTAATTATAATATATACATTATACATATTATGTTATAAAGTCGCATCTTATAAAAACAAGCAACTGTGCCGGCTTCGGCCCGTTCGTTTTGTTGATACTTGCAATATACACATCAACACTGTCTAGGGATATTTCACGTTTATTAGCATAACTTTAAAAGTACTGGCCATTTGAAAAAGATTTAAACGTCAATTTGTTCCTGTCAATTTTTTTTCTGTATTCTAAATTCAAATTTTCACTGTATTCTAATTCCTTGTGTCTGTTAAAGATTTAAGTGTTTTTAAACAAAATTTTAATTTATTCGCACCTTTAATAATTAAATTAATACTGGCGGTTTTTTCTATACCATGGAACGCCGACTTTAAGCAGAGACTACATACAACTCAGTGGCTACATCAATATAAAATATGGCGACACTGGACTTGCCCGCGCAGTCCCCGGATTTAAATTCGATTGAGCGTGCGTGGGATATGCTTCAACGAATGGTTTTACGTAATTTTCCAGAAAATCTAGTGACTAACGGTGAACTTTTCATGCATATTCGTCAAACCTGGGACCTTATCCCACAAGAAGATATTGATAACCTCATTTTGAGCAAGAATAATCGTTGCAAATTCGTTATAAATATCCGAGGTACTTTTACAGGTTATTAGTTTTTTTCATACAATTTTGTTTCGTTCTTTAATCACCAAACACCGTAAGTTTTATTTTAATACAATGATAACTCTGTTTATTTTTACTAAAATAAACCTTTAAAAACAAACCTCAGATTTTATTAATTTACTGTTATGGTATACACAATACTGCGCATTTTCATATTATGATATTTTAAGAAATTCTTTGTACTTTCTTTTGAATCCATGAATAACTAAAATATCCCTAGATTGTGTTGATGTGTGTATTTTGTTTCTCATGCAAACTTCGTATAATCCCATTTTCATCGTACTCTCTTTTGGAGGTTGAATTTCAAAAAAACCGTTTTTAGTGGGTTAAATTTGTCATTTATTATACAAATACAGATAAAAGATTGACATTGCAAGTGTTTGTTGTTTATACATATTTCTTTTACACTTTTATGTTTAACTATCATTTACTGCCCATACTGTAGTCACAGAATAAAAGTTATAGGTAGTCATTTACTGTAGGGGAAAGGGGGGTACAGTGAGCTGTAGTACACAGTGAATCAGCGGCTACTTCTCTTTGCCTATGCTTTCTATACACGTACCACAATAATGGAACGCATGCTTTAGTACTTACACCTCTACCCCGCCAGTGTCCATCACGCTCTCGCTGTTGAAGAATGTGTTACCGCCATTTGGCTATCCGTGAGTATCAAATCTATTTTTTTACTACTATTACCCGAGTGTTTTATTCACGAAAATGTTTAATATTGAATGAATTATTTTAAATTATCTAAACAATAATCTAATAAGCTTCAGAAATAAATAGCTGTTTGATTCGTATAGATTATGTAAGTTATAGGAATTTGTTGTTCAGTTGTTAGTAGTGCTTTGGGGAACAGTGGGCCATTTCCATGTGGGGTACAGTGGATTGGCGATCCACTGTACTCCACACTAAATTTCGAGTTGATTAGACTATTTTATTTATAGTATGTAATAATCATTTTTGTTTTAGATTAACAACATAGCACGGCACCGAAAGAGAAAGACTCAAATTGGTCTTACTACTAATTAACTGAATAGATAAAATGCCATTGTCTTTGTTTTACGGGGCAAAAAAATTAGAAAAGTTGTAAAACTAGAAAAATAATCCATATGCAATCTTACATAGATATTATGCGAAAAGATAAAACACATTGGCAAGCTACGTTTAACTCCCAATTATGGGGTAAATAAGATTTTCACTGGAAAAAGAATTCAAAATAAAGAATATATCGAGCAACGTCAACAAGATAAAATTAATAAGCTTGTGAAAGTAGCAAAACATATTAGTAAAAAAGTTATGCAGTTCGATTCTAGTGACGAAGATAGAAAAAAACAAAGGAGTAGTACAAATTAAGAGAGAGAAACGACTAATAAGTACAAAGAGAATGAAAAGAAAAATTCTGCGTCTAGTATAGTTAGATGCACATAAAAAGAAAGTATTTTAGACAGGAAAGGGAAGGAGAACAAAAGTAAAGAATGGGTACAGATTACCTGATGTTCTAAATATAGTTTCAGTACCCCTAGAATATATAATAATGAAATTACCTCTGCCTACATTTTGTGGTACTAAACGACAACAGCAAGTCTATAAATGAGATCAATCTCAATTTTTCTCGCTTAAGTTTGCGTTAATTATTTTTTCAATTTCTTTTCGTATTAACGTGATATGTTTTTATTTTTGAAATTAGTTTTATTGTGTATATGTTATATTTTGTTTCGTTCAAGATTTATGTTATCCAGTTAATAACTTTTAAACCTTAAATAATACCTTAAACTTCTTAATATAAATACTAAGTACATTTTTTATAAGATATCACTACAAGTAATGTGTTACTTACGACTGATAGAAAATGAATGGAGATTGATAATTTTGTAATATTGTTCACATAATTCATAAATATTTTTATTTATATAATTTTTTTACAATATTGATTGATTCGCTATAACCCAACAGTAAAATGTATGATGATTTCATGTGTTGATTCACTGTGCCCCAATAAGATCCACTGTACCCCATGTGGAGATCCAATGTACCCCATATATGGGGTACAATGAATAATTTCCCACTTTTTAAAAAAACCTTTGTTTTCAGAAAACTATTAATATTATTGTTAAAGTTGAGCTAGATTTCTATAGCCAACTTAACACCTCATTGCTCTACATATAAATATTGGTAATTTATGCTTTATTTATATAGGTAAACTACATTTGAAAAAAAGTGATCCACTGTACCCCCCTTTCCCCTATCGTTACAAACTTTTGCATTTATAAATAACATTAGTGCGAAATAATATTACAACCGCGACATTTTATATAAGAATCGATATTATTAATTATTTTTAAAATAACTTTAAAATGTAACTTTTATGAAAATCGTAGAATGGACACGGTTGGCAAACTATGTTCGTACCGACGCGTATTTCCGAGTTGCGTAAGGAGACTTAAAACTGATAATACTAGCCTTGGTTTAGCCAAGGCGCTTATTAATTAGATCATTCGATACACTTGTTACTATATTTACTTACTATATTTCCTCTCAATTTTTATTTTTGAGTATAATCGCAGCGTTCAACCAAAACGGACTTTAGAAAATATTATTACATATTTGTATGTGATATACTCGTATAATGAACTGCGCTTATCCTG